TACATGGCACTGCATTTGTTTACACTACACACAATTATCATGTCTTTTGGTCCATGACACGTGCATTTGTTTACACTACACACAATTATCATGTCTTTTGGTCCATGACACGTGCATTTGTTTACACACACACAATTATCATGTCTTTTGGTCCATGACACGTTCATTTGTTTACACTACACACAATTATCATGTCTTTTGGTACATGACATGTGCATTTGTTTACACTACACACAATTATCGTGTCTTTTGGTACATGGCATGTGCATTTGTTTACACTACACACAATTATCATGTCTTTTGGTACATGGCATGTGCATTTGTTTACACTACACACAATTATCATGTCTTTTGGTACATGGCATGTGCATTTGTTTACACAACACACAATTATCATGTCTTTTGGTCCATGACATGTGCATTTGTTTACACTACACACAAGGCAAATTTTCTGAGTTTTGTTTTGAAATTTTCCCTTACAAGATTTTTTTGATTTAATTACAATTTTAACTCCAAACTTCTCACTCATCAGATGCCAAGTTATTTACTTCAAACCTTTAAACTGTCTGTGCTACCAGTTGGAGATGTCCTTTGTTAGAGATCCAGTAGGTGGTGGGGTTCACTTCATTGATGTTCTTCTTCAACAGCAGGATTTCACTGGCACACCCAGAGACAGCTCCTACACTGAAAAATTTTGTGAGTTTGGAGCCTTCTGAAATTGGTGTATTAGAGGCTCTATTAGCATTACCTAAGTGCTTTTAGGAAATGGTTATGGCCATGGAAACTTATTAGTTGGTTGAAGAGTTTTTTGAATCTCCAGGAATTATACTTTTGGAAACTCAGACAAAAGAATGTCAATTTCAAAGACCAAGATAACCAGTGTGTTGAGGAACATGACCGAGGAAGAGAGATTTCTTGAAGTGTTTTAGGATGTTTTTCTATATATACACACCAAGTAGTCAGAGAGACAACCAGGGATAGAGGTGAAATTTTACATTTATTGTTAACCAAAAATGAGGTTATAGTTACAAAAGTTAAAATAGAGAATACTAGGGGAAAAAGTTAGCTATGATTTTTGCTAGATACTGAGAGAAAAGAAAATGAAATTTTAGTTTCTGATTTTCAGAAAACCAATTTGAGGTCATGAGACAAGATTTATTACAAATAAATTGAGATAGTGAGTTAAAAATTGATTTGAGAGAGATCTGAGAAATTTTTAAAAGCAAACTACTTATAACTCAAGAGGAAAAAGATAACAGAGAAGATCAAATCTAATAGACTGACCAAATACCTAAAGGAGAAAATTGTAGATAAATGCCGTAAGTTTAAGAACTTCAAATACAAAGATAGTTGGAAGACTTACAGAACTAAAGAAAAGCCATGGACTTGTTAAAAAAAGAAATTAGGTAATTCAAAATAACTTACGAGAACAGCTGACTGATAATGTTAAAACTAACAACAAGGTTTTTGTTAATGTCTTGTCCTCTTCTGATTTTAGAAGATTAAATATACATCTGACCCTGAACATTCTATGTAAAATATTGGTACTGATCTGTGTCATGTTGATATTAATACACTTACAGTAAACAGAAAGATTGAAATTTCAAAATGGACAAAGCACCATGGTCAGAAAAGGTTTTCCTCCATGGTTTTAAAGAAGATCAAATATGCAAGTCTTTCTCTCTCATTTTTGGTAGGTAATAGAAAGTGCAGTTTGACTGTTTTCAACATAATCAAATTTTAAAGCCCAAACATGTCTTTTTTTTTAGATAAATGTGTTTAATATTTCCTGGTTTACAATTCTTTCATAACTATGTATTATTCCAATACAGATTTTTTTTAGTACCAATATGTATGGTTATTTTCTTGTGAGTTCGAGATTTATTTTAATGTAATGGACAATTAGTTTCACATACTATTAAAATTGGCTATTGTTTTAAAACTCACGTTATTAAATTTAAATGCATTGTGGTTCTTGGATTTTGTGCAAAACTACACAAGGGCTGTCTGCATTAGCTGTTCTTAATTTTGAAGATACAGCAGCCAGTTAACACCATCCATCTTGGGCTGCTCTTGTCAGACTAGATAGTGGTATTTCTACCACAAAATTTCGGCTCCACAGTCAAGCATGCAAATTACTCGGCCTCGATCAGCCCGACACGTCATGTGGAGTATTTGATGTTAATGATATTGATTATTCAACTTCTCAGTAAATTATATCTTTAATATTTAGAAAGGTCAATTTCACTCTTGTTTTCATATTAATAATCCAAAAGGAAAATAGGAACAATATTCAGACCCACATGCAAATTACAATATATATTTATTACTAGTTATGATTATCATGAATGTAAAAAAACAATAACACAAATATAATCGATCATAAAAATATGCAGAGTTATTTGTACATTTCACTAATAATAAGACATATAAAAATCACTTTAGAAAACTTACATTTTTACCATAATGTCAACTGAGTCTTAGGTATTTGGAATGTTTTGTATGCTGATCATACATAAATATATAATTATTTATAAATATTTCAACTGTATATTATAGTATCTCTTGAGCTTGATGAGCTGGTCTTCTAGAAGAAATCATGACTGATTTTGTTACATTACCTTGCTTAACTCTTTCATTAGCAAGATGGGTACATTACATATCTTACTAACATGGATACTTGTTGTATAATAATTAATTAAAAGTTAACCAAGTTGGGTTTTTTTTTCACACATCACATAATAATTATTTAAAATAATGAAGAATGGTGTAAATTATTCACGTTGGCTGTAACTTCTGTTTTGATATCTTGATAAGAGAAGGATTAAAGATATTCTAGTAGTAAAATCTATTAAGCCACAATAAAGATACTAGTACTGTATTATACCCTTTCAAATAGTTAGTTTTAGGTATGAAAAATAGAGGTGCTTTAACAACTTCTTCCAAATATATTTTAATGTACAAAATACTGTGCACTGTATGATGTTATGTTATACATAAAACATTACTGTTATGTACATGTTTGTAAATGAGCTTTTTAAACCTTCAATTACAAGATAAAAATATTATGTTCAATAACTTCATGATCTTTTTTTTTCTTCAAGACCATTATAAACTACAATATGTTTAGCTTGCAAGTAATGCTTATAATGTATGACTTTAGGAGACATAATTGTTAATCTACATTATTGGAATATATAAAATAACTTCCTACAATGACATGAAAGTTTGAACAATTATACGTCTAAATGGGAATGTGTCATACGCCAAGTTTCAGAACTTAATGCAAGCAGAATGAACTGAACTTATTTCCACTCCATAATATTCTTAGTAGATATCTAACAATATAAAATTCAAGTTTTCTGAACATGATAAATTATATTTAATTTTTTTTTTCAGTGTTGTAAAACAGGACTGTACATCTTGGAATTGTTTTGATTGCATAGAATTTTTTAAAATTAGAATTATTTTCCTTCTATGTTACACTACGCTTTCAGTTATGCTCCTTCAACTGATATGTAACTTACCAAACTCTCTGGAGAAAACATAATTAAAGATTTCCACATCTTACCTGCCTTGTTTCTTAAAGAATAATAACATCATTTTAAGTTAAATACTTCTATTCAAAATTATCAATTTTTTTATTTTAATTTTGGCTTTAAACTTATCTGTTCAGAAAATCGTTTACATAAATCATTTCACTTATTCTTAACAGATTTTCCTTACTTCAGACTTTAATTTAGGGTTAGTTACAACTAAGTATCACATATTAGTCTCTATCTTAAACACTGCGAGGATGGTTTCACTGGGAGTTGAAGTAAGTCATTACATTACAAAAGTCACTGGATTCCTTAACTTCCATCTGTTTAGTTAATTATAAGATTTTACTGAACAAATATATATAAAACATCTACACTGTTATGAAAGACAAAGATTTGACTTATCTTCTTTTACAAAATGAGCTTTAAGTGTATACCAACACTTTTTTTTCATGTAAGCCCATTAGTTCATTAGGTTGGCTTTTCTGTTCTAGTAAAATATGCTACTTTATCTAAAGGCACAGTGTAGTTGTGTAACCATTTCCCACCACGCTGGATTTGTCCCAACAGTTCGTCTCGCCACCATCCTTGAGGTAAGTAGATATCTCGGTTACGCTTTCCTTTATCTAATATAGGGGCTACAATAATCTCCTCACCAATAACAAATTGTGTATTTAAAACTTGAGCATCTTGTTTGGTGGGCTCAAGCCACCAGAGTGGACGAATGATTGGGGCACCAGTTTGAAGGTACTCTCGGATACTATGCTGCATGACAGGCAAGACACGTTCTTCTCGTATTTTAAACAAAACCTTTGCAGCCTTGATGACATCAAGATCATAGTCTCCTGGTGGTACAGAAAATTGAACAACTGGCATGAAAGCTGCAAGTTGTAACCAACGTAGATAAAGTTCTTTATCGGGTAGAGTAGCATTTTCTACGAGTAAAACATCACCACCAACTGATCCTGGATTAACAACTGGATAACCAAGTAATTCAAGAGTAAGAACTGTTGGTAAGATTGATCTTAATCCAGTCCTTGCATCCCAAGTAGATGTTCTTGGTGCTATGGCAACAAAGGCTGCAATGTTTTGGGTATTAAACCCTACTCCTGTTCCCATAAAATTACCAGCTTTAGAAGCAATCTGAACATACTGTGTAAGATATGTATCAGGATTAACCTTTAGTTGTTGAAAATTATAAAATTTTGGAAGATATGAAGATTGACCCCCCAAAAAAACAAAACCATCAATGTTGTACTTTGATTTTAACTCTCGTAGACGTGCTAGAAACCACTGAGCAGCTGTTTCATTTGTAACATCAACAACTGCACAGACAGAATCTTGCCATCTAGTTAGAAGTGGCACATTCCATTTGTCATCAGTAATGAAATACATTCCATCAGTACCGTTTAAGAAAGCAACAGAATCCACACAAACATAAGGGTGAACTGCCAATAACACTCTGAAACCCTTATGATGGAGAATGTTGAGTACTTCCTCAGGATTTGTAAAATTATCAACTCGAAATTGAAGGTCCCCCTCTTTTTCTTGCCATCTAATGTCTATAAGAATATTCCCAGCTTCAAATCCATGTTCCATAATGTGGTTTGCATACACTTGCAGAGATTCCTGACTCAGAGATGTACCAAATTTTGGCCCAGTTGCCCACACTGGGCTTTCTAGAAATTCTGAACTAGAAATATTTGATGGAAGACTGTGAAACTTGTGCATAGTGTCAAGATGAACAGACTTAATATCTGAACCAGTACACAGAGTGTACTTTAAATTTGGTAATTTGTTTTCAGCAACATGGTAAGGAAACCCCTGGTATTTTGCGACAAAGCATAACCGTTCATTTCCGCTACTGTTCAAACTGACATAGAGAGGAACCTCAGGATCCACATGGATAGCAATTCCCCCTGAAGACAACCAATACCGCTCCAGGATAGATCCAAAGTCATTGTCATAAACATCTCCTGACACAAATGGCTGCATGTTTAGGGATATATTAGACAGTGGCCATGAGATATTTTTTATCTCTCCCATTCCATACCAAAAGGCTCCATGAAGGCTGAAACAGTCTTCTAAATTAGTATGATGGGAGAGAGCCTGCCAGTTCACAGTGTAACAACTTAAATTTCCTTTGTGCCAATAACCAATCATCAGGCGAGCTCGATATTTCCATTCTACACAAATATTGGGGCCTAAGACGTGTTGAAGGACCTGGCAGTTATAAGGGCTAAGGTTAACAGGCATATTTAAACCTAAATAACCAGTAAGATGCTCTTCACCATTCTCTCGTAGTAGATGTAGAATTCTTTGAACTTCATGAAACCTAATTTTGTCACCAATTTCAAGATTCATCAGTTTCTGATGATATAAAAACCATGTAAATGTTACCAGTGCTACAATACAACAAAACAATAACACCAAGATTAACCGGAACTTTAAATCTGGTGGTTTGCTTTGGCGAAATACAGCTTTGAACCTGGTTGCCTGGAAGTAAAAAAAAAGTATTATAAAATCATTAACATATATTCATAATAAATAAATAATTTTATACCTACAACTCATAACTAAAAGAAATTGGTTTCTAATTGAAGTAACAGATCTATAGCTCATTTTCCCTGAAGTTTGTTAAATAAACAAGTTATCTTTTACATAAAAACTATGATCATTGTTGGACCTAGTTAAAATATTAATTTATTCAAATGTATGAGTCAATGCCGTGATCAAGTAAGGTATGTTCTTATTTATAATTGCTTAGTTGTTCACAAGAACAAAACTTTGTAGTAGAACTGACAAAACTTTCAAAAACATTGGTACTATACATTCAGGTTTAAAATGCATTTTAAATTAATCCAAGGATAACACAATAAAGATGAATTTTAAAACCTGAATGTATATTACATTTTTCTCAAGAATCAAAGACAAAATATAAAACCATCAAAAACTTCTAAAATTGTTCATTAATTAACTCCTCCTTGTTGTTCAGAAACATTACATCATTCCTACCACAAGGTGGCTCAGCACTCATGCCAACAAATATACTGAAGCAATTTTGTTTAATAATAATTACTTTTATTTTTAATATAATTAGTCAATCATCCCCAAGTGGCATGGATCTATTGTCACTTTTTCATTTGGCAGTTTCATTGAATAGAAAATCAGCGAACTTCGTTCGAATCCTTTTTTTGTTAAGTTGGATATTTTCACTTCTGTATCAGTCTTGTTCTTAAAGGATATAAAGCGAGTTACAAGACTATGAGACTAGATACCATTCTAGTCACGTATGAGCATTTGGTCTGGGAGGAATTGTTTGTGGTGCATGGTGTTTCTGAGAAAGTCAGCATGTCGCTTTTCTGTATTGGAAGACAATCTTCAGTTAGTAGTAAGAACCTGACCTTCTTATCCAGAAACTGCTATTATAGAACTTATCATGTCTAGAAATTCTAAGAATGTAAGGTTATGAATTATGTGGTAATAATGTTGTAAGTAACCACACTGTCTGTTGTTATTTTTTTAATTTATGTGATCTAATTTTATATGGTTTCTTCTTTGTATTTCAAGATCAAATCAAATGTCAAAACATTATATTACAGTATAGTTGTATACTGTAAGTTAATCAGTTGTACAGTTTTGAGGTAAATGCACTGGTGAGTACAAAAATATGCAACACAATTGCTTGTTTTGGAATTTTATGCAAAGCTACTTGAGGGCTACCTGCTCTACCTGTTCCTAATTTGGAAGTGACAGACCAGAGGGAAGGCTGCTAGTCAACAGTGTCCACCATCAACTCTTGGGCTACTTTTTTAACAATGAAAAGTGGGACTAACTATCACATGATGGTGCCCCCATGGCCAAAAGGGCAAGCATGTTTGGTGACTGGATTTGCATAGCTAGGCGTAAGTTTGAGTTACAGGCAGGTATTAGAGTGTGGGAGGAGGATCTTTCCCTCTTGCTGGTGGGGGAACCAGGGGCCTCCCCTGGGAAAGCTTTAACTTTAAACCTGAAATGGTGCATTCTTTTGACATTTTTACATATATAATCTACAACAAATTAACCATACAGATGACATAAAGTACTGTAACCATTAAAATTTTGATCACTAGCATTTTTGTTCATATTTTGTTGGAAAAAAAAGACAATCAGATTAAGATTTTATATCAAAGCAAATTTGTATCTTGAATCTTCAATGTTAAGCTATCCCCCACTGGGGGGCAAGGCAATAATATGCTGCCTGGAAAGTTTAAAAGACTGAATGATCAAACAAACACCAAAATAGTTTTATTCCAAAATACTTCTGAGTTAATCTCCATCAAGGTGATAATTATAATTTAAATTTGCCATTTATTTGCCCTCCTCACAGCCAACTACATCCAAAACTTAATATCATCAGCAAACTTGACCAATTTGGTAATCATTCCATTATCAATATCTTTAATGTATATCAAATAGAATAAAGATCCCAACACAAGAGTCCCGAGGTACCCCACCTGTAACTCCAATCCCCCACTCCCAAAGAGATGATTTTCTTTAATAGTCTTTACTGATTTACAGAACCAGTACTACAGCACAATTTCCGTATAAAAGATATTAGCAGATCACTGCTCAATTAGGTCAATTTAGCCATGAACTTACTAATTATATTGTGAAAGAAATGTAACCTGTTTTATAATGAGATGAACTCTTTAAACTTTGAAAAGTGATGGGTAAAACTTCCCTTGTTTAGGTAATTAAAACAAAAATTAATAAAAACCCACAATTTACGTGTAAATGCATTCCATCTTACTCTATTTTTAAAGTACTTTTTCTGAAAAACTTTATGAAGAAAGTCACATGATTTGTTACCTCTAGTAATAGCCACAACTTCTGTCATAAAGACAGACACAATACATACTCTGTTTTGAATATTCTTTCTCAGCTGCCCACCAGAGGGAACTTTATTTGACTTTTCAGAACCCTTCCAGGTATTATCTTCCACACTCAACTGTAAAGAAGCTGGTTTCTTATCTGCTGTAGGGGTTTGAGTTGGTGATTCTCTTGGTGTTGTATTGGCTGAAATGGTAGCTCCTGTGTCCAAAGATCGAATGCTACTAACTGTTGCTTGGTTTGCCTCGGCTGAATGAATACCACTTTCTAAAGACATTAAGTCTTCAGTGCTAGGATTACAATTCATTTCCATGTCTGAAATATAAAAAAAAGCTACACTTACTTAACTTTTAAGTGTTTCTTTTGCAAAATAACTATACTGCATACAAAGGAAAACGTTTTCAATTAAAAAAGGATATGGAGTAATGACTTAAAAGTGGTCTACAATTCACAACCCATTTGGTTTTCAACACACTTAAGAGTGATATATACAACAGCATAGACCAAAAAAATATACAGAAATGTGAATTATTCATCATAATAGGGGCTATATCCTAATATCAATCCAAGTTACACCAAGCTGCCATTTGTTTGTTTGTTTGATTTTTAAGTTAAGCACAAAGCCACACAATGGGATATCTGTGTTTTGTCCACCACAGGTATTGAAACCTGGTTTCTAGCATTGTAAGTTTGCATGTATACTGCTGTGTCACTGGGGGAGGGGCTGCCAAAAGTTACAGCTTTATATGAATCAGTTTGGTTACAGTAAAATATATATGTAACTGATAAGCTAACATACCAGTATATCATCTGGAAAAAAATAAAAAAGCTAGTGGCAGAATGCTTACTTCATGATACACCATTGAATGATTTACAAAGTCAAGCAAATTAAGGTTTTAGTGATGAAAAAACAACAACAGATAAATAACCAGTTAGCCTGTTGACTAATAATGGATAATTAATTGTGACAGTACGTCACATGTTATCAAAACACCTCAAGCACTATTCATCTAAACCAAACAAACTGCTTACATTACACCACTATATAAGGCCTACTTTACTTAATTGCTTTGCTCTAACCCAGCAACATTGATGAGCTATGAAACTAGTCTATTTCAGTGGAAGTATTGAATCAAAGAATAGATTATGCTTTTACAAAATCCTTTCTTCAATAAAATTTACATTTCTGTGAAAAAAAAAGAGGAAATTAACAAATAAATATATTCACACTGTGGAAACATATCCATACAGACCTTTTTTTATTCTGTAATTTGAAAGTTTTGTCATCTACACTTTTATTATAAAAACTTGGCATCTGCAGTTTCTTGAATAACTGCGAGACATATATCAAAACTGAAAGTCCTTAAACTTGTTTTGTTGTCCATTTGTTATAGCAGTAATCTTCACACTCACAACTCTACACATGTACAAAGTAACGTGCAGAGAACATTAACAGGGCAGTGGCTCATTGACAAAAAAGGAACACTTTTTTTAAGCATTGTAAGACAATATTTTTTTGGGGGGGAGGTATTTGGGGAGACTATGAGTTGCCTTGGTGTACATAGGGTAAAAAGTCATATGTAGACAGATCCTTTTTTTCTCCTGTTCAATTGGTATTGTAAATACTTATTAAAATATAAAAATAAACAGTGAATAATTGTATATTAACACTTTATAACATATCATAGTTAAATTTTTTACTGTAAACACCTACATGTCCCTGTATGCAATTTATTTTAAAGTTGAAGTCTTTTTTTTTCTTAATAACTTGAAGTAAGCACGGTGTGGAATTATGCATGAGTTTTAGTAGTTATGGACAATTTTTATGATTGAGAAAATTGGCACTTTTGGATAAAAAAGCAGAAGCTTGAGCTCACCCGACCACCTCCCTGTGTACACCACTTATTCTTCAAACTAAAAGACTCTTTCTTCAATTCCTATATCCCTTACTTCTACGATGTTATGTAAGCAAATATTATGGGTTAACTTCTTTCATAACATAGAAAATAGATTCAATGACGAGTAACCCACTTTGAGACTAATAATGGTTGGAGACGGCTTGAATGGGTAATGAAGAAAATCTTTAATATAAGTTTAACACAACAGCAAATATACAACGTTTCGACAAGGTTTCGTCATCATTGAGTACCTGATGATGACAAAACCTTGTCAAAATGTTGTACATTTGCTGTTGTGTTAAACTTATATTAAAGTTTTTCTTCATTACTCATTTAAGCAGTCTCCAACTATTAATAGAAAATAGATGTATCTTTATTCTGTTTTTTTATATTTTAGTACAGGTTTCTTATCCTTAGTTAAACACAAACAGTATAATCCCAGCTATATACTGTCTTCATTTTCAGGTGTAAGTATTTGGCCAACACAAGATTTATTTCTCACAATATCTAGCATACAGAACAAACACACACAAAACTATCTTTTCTCTTTCTTGAATAGTGAGACTGGTCTCCCAATGTGACATAGCATTCTGGGAAGTCCTGGCAGAATGTGAAATGGAATATAATTCCAAGCAAAGTTAAGAATTAATTCAAAAATGCTACTGTCTACATCCGTTTCAGAATAACCCACACGTTGCCAAAGTAGTGCAGCCAACCTCCCCATATCCGTATCTTTCAGACTTAGGTTCTATAGAATTAATTGTAATGATCTGGAAAATCATGGCTTTTTTTTTAGTTTACCAGGTCAAGGGCTTTTTTGATGTGTAATAGTTTTTCTTTGTACCTATAATACCAGATATACCTTGATCCCTCCCACACATCTAAAACTTCATGATATCATTATAAATGACTCACACATTGGGTGTTAAATTGATAGAATATTTCAAAATAATTAAAAGTCCAACAAGGCCTATATATCTTTTCCCTGCCTAATTGGTTGACACTTTCAGCCAGAAGTTCTTATCCCATCGATACCATGTTCACTTACCCATTCTGAGATAAAAAAAAAATTAGCTTCCAGGTTCACCGATTCTTTTAAATGACGAGTAAAGTTAATTAAAGTAAAATAAATATAAACAATTTGGTGTTAAAATACATAAATAATTTGGTATCAATAAAAATCATAAACCTATTCTTATGTGTAATGACTTACACAAAATTGATAACAATTATAGTTCACATCGAAACAGTTGTCATTCAAGTAGTTTACCACAACTACATCTGTTGTATCCCAGTCAGCCTTGAAATAGCAGATAGTTTGGTAGATATATGATTACACTTTACTTTCAAAAAACAAAATTCCTTATGCTTATAAATCATTGTTACACAATTAACTGCAATATCATTACACTCTTCTTTATTTTCATTTGCATGTTCTTAAAATGATATAAACAAATGACATACATATAGATGGAGTAGCTGCCCTAACTCTGTCTCATCTCATAAAAGGTTCACTTGTTTTATATATATATAAAGTTAATACTCAGCCCAAACTTATAAGATACACAAAGTTAACACTTTGGGACCCAGCCACGAGCCCACCTGTAAACAGATTCAGCACAGTAATGTTTGATGCCCACTGTTAATCGGCAGTTAAAGAGATCCCCCTACTCTTTACCTCTTGAGAAGTACAAAGCTTCAGGACAGCATGAATAGGCTTGCAACTATCAATTAAACAAGAATAATCACAAAATGTGGATTCCAATGCTGTGATTAATTTGCAAGCCAGAGGGATTGGAAAAGGAATTTGTTTTTTACTAAGATGAGAAAATATTGATAAACACTTTTATTTTGTGTTTGTAATATTTTTTAGATACTGCAATAAAAAGTTTCATTTTTAAGTTGTATTGGTACATGTTTTTGATTGGTTGATGAGGTTTAATGGAATGCCCCTTTTAGCCATTTAGTTCTTTCATAGTAAAGTTGGTCAGTGGAAGAGGCACAATATTTTTTACCCAAGGCCTTCATACATCACTGAATATAAAGTTTACATGAAACTGAAAGAATTTACAGTAATGTATACTGCACAACACTAGGTTTAGGTGTACAGTTGAGTAGCAATACTTGGTCAAGTTTCTTAACTGATTATGAATACGTATATATATCAGTTTAAATGGATAATTTACATTAAATTTCCAGGTATTAAGTAAGCATTGAATGACTTTCCTAGTTTTTATGATGTTACATAGAACTCACAAATACAAGATAGTAAAAGAAAAGGAGTAAGGAATACGTTCACAGTGCATCAAAAACAAGTTCAGAATTCACATTCATAAACGGAACTTTCTAGTATGCGATTTATTTTACTACTATTTTGCAAACGCTTTCTTTGGTACGTAGGCCATGTTTATTATTTGCCATGAGGTGGGTGGCAGTTTGTGGTATTTTAACATTTTCCTCAGCCAGTAGTCTCTAGTCTTACAAACAAGATCCATTCAGAGGATTGATCTCAGGGTCTTGGGGTGTACCAGGATTGAATGCCAATTTTTCTTCTTGTATTCAGATATATTTCATTCCTTAAACGATCTACTAACGGATATATCGAGTTAATCTTCGGCTATTTGCAGACTTGTAATAAAGCCATTCAAATCGTGTTACATTTTAGGAAATATTGATCCTCAAAGAATCCCTCATCATTTTATGAATTGTTAATTATTTTTATTATACTTAATATAAAGCTTTTGATAGTTGTATATCCCTTGCTGTTGCATGGGTACTATTTTCACATAGCTTTAGTTACAAAAGATCAAAAAGTTAACACAACTGTTGAACTATCTTGTTTAGCGTATGTTTAAGGTTACGAGACGTCCCAGTTTTACTGGGATCGTTCTAGTTTTTAGCCGTATTACTTAAAAAATTTTTTCACTCCGTAAATTTGGTAACCAACCCTATTTATGTTTCAGGATTCAGAGAACTCTTCTGACACAAGTACGCATGCGACAATTGGACATTCGCTTGCTTTATATCATTACCAGTAATATATATACCCTTCATAATAAAAAAAAAAGTGATAAATGAACTTGTTCTTAGCAGGCGTAAAAAAAGTTCTACTAAACTACAATATACATGGAATTCATTATGATAAAACATCACAGTACACTGTTAATATTTTCAGTTGAAACTTATATAGTGCTAATTTCGATGCCTAACTAAAAACGTACATAAAATTTTCACTTTTTTTAAGTTTGAACGAGGCCTGGGTGATAACTTAGTTAATAATACAACCAGAGTATGTAACAAAAGCAGTGGGAAGTTTTGAAATATGATTCGATAACTGAGCTCTGACTTTAAACTAGTACATATGTTTTGGGTGTAAAAGTTAATTACATTAACGATTTTTTTTTCTTTTCTTTTTAA